ATACAAGTGAGGATATTTTGTTTTATCTGCGAGCCAGATGCAATCATTAAAGAGCCACAGGTTCCCGACCCCTGGATTAGAGGGTTCTCTCAACTCAACTCAACTTTATTTATAAAGCGCTTTCAGTCAGCCAAAGCTAAAATCAAAGCGCTGTACAGGCCATTTGAGCAGATCATAAAACACAATTATCACCACAACACAGGACAAACTCAAAGATAAATAAAAAACAGTAAGAGCAAAAAATAAAAAATAAAAATAAGAAAAAACAAAAACCAAGTAAGAGAGGGAAATTAAGACAACTAAGATAAAGTGGAAGTCTCACTCCTCTTTTGTCTGAACTCTGCAGGTGATCAGTGTCCCAGAGGGAGATTTCTTCTTCGACTTTGTGAGGCATTTGACAGACTGGATCAAGAAGTCCCGGCCAGCTAAAGACGGTTTGTACCTCCTCACCCTGGTCACAAACGTTTTAGTTTTTAATTATTTATTTAAAAAAAAAATTTTTTTTTTATTTTTTTTATAACAACATACAAACATGAATACAAACTTCCGACTCATATTGAAATGTACCAGTTACATTAAACGTGGCATTGGAAGGTGCGATAGTAGGTATTCTTATCAGGTGTGAGAATGAATACAGGACATCTGAACAAAAACAACACACAAAAATCGCAAATAAAAATAATGGAAGCTTACAGTTAGATCCTCCTAGAGATAATGTGGTCCACATAGTCTTAGGTGTCATGACATTTTAGATTGGTCCAGCAGAGCAAACAGGTGCATTATTTATGAGGAATTTTGTATATATATATATATGTATAAACATGTACATATGTATATGCCTTTGTTTTGCTTATGGAGCCTGTAACAAAAATAATTTCCCTCTGGGATTATTAAAGTATTTCTGATTCTGATTCTGAGGTGATTCACCAATTACATCATTGGATTAGTAGCGTGTAATAGACTTCCATCTCGTATTAAAAGTAGACTCTTGGAGCTTTAGGGAATATGTGATTTTTTCCATCAAATAAATGTCCCAGACTTTCCGAATCCATATGTTATATGTTGGAGGTGGTGCTTTCAACCATCTGATGGTTATACATTTCAATGCTGCATTTGGTCACAAACTTTAGAAAGGTAGAAGGTCGAGGACCATCAGAACCAAAACCTAACGCCATAAAGACAGTTTCTATCCTATTTTATCTGTGATGTTTTAGTGTGTGATTTGTTGTGTTGTGTACAGTCAC